CAGGTGGGAGTACCCCCCCCCCTCCTCCCCCCTGTGAAGGAGCTAGAACTCTCCCAAAACCAACGAACATTTGCACGGCTACTGCACTGGTCGACAACTTCCACACGTTTGGCATCAGTACGCCAGAAGGATCAAAGGAAAAGTGACTGGAGTTTTACATCAACAAACATAAAAGACGCACATTAAAACAATTCCACGATTCCTGTAGAAAAATCTTTGCATAAGAATCATGCATTCCACCAGACTGAGTGGGCGGGGGTTGCTGGGTGGGTCCAAGTCTGCCCATCATCGGGTTGCCAGGTTTGTTTGTTCCAAATGCACCTGATTCAGTTAAAGTTATCCCTTCTGCAACCAGCAGGAGGAGAACCAGAGCACACAGGGATCAGAGGAGGACTCCAGAGGAGCTCTGGGTCTGGTCCACATGAAGGCAGGATTTTTTAATCTCAAGTCGTCATTTAAACCTGATGTTGGTACTCCACGTTCACCTTCTCAGTCTGAGTGGGCTCAAACCTGGGCCCACGGTCAGTCTAGTCGACCAACACATGACTCAGAGAGGTCAAAGGGCAGGACAAGCAGGTCAGATATTCAGCCCATTCAGACTAATGGTAGTGTCAGAGACCAAAACCAAAAACGACTACTAACTCCCTGCAGGTGGCGCTACCAGCAGAGTTGTTACTCTCGTCTGTTTCTAACAGTGACATCTACCTGTGGTGTGGGGATAATCTTATTTGAAGGTCATCAGCTGCAGCCCCCATCCCCCCCACTACCCAATGACCCTGGAACATGGTTAAGAACTGAGGTTCCAGTCAGAACTAGAGAAGAGTCTGGTACTTGGTCCAAACACCTTCAAGAACGTCAACGTGAGACTAAAGGAGAAAACACGAAATGTTTCCTGTCGGAGGACGATGATAAAGATTTGTTGGTTTTTTGTTAGAGGATGAAGACCAAAACTCTTTCCTGTCTACATGTGGACTAGATCCTCGAGTCCACATCTAGGACCTGCACTTTGGTGCCGTTAGATCCTACAGTAATACTGCTGACAGCTGGTCACCACACTGACAAACGTCACAGGACGGACACTTCGTCTTTGGACCACTTTATTGAGCGACACTCTGTCGCCTCCGCCGCTGTTTCTCCTCCAAATGTAAAAATCGAATCACGTAAAAAAGGAAAAATAAAAGACATTTAAGGCAACTCCTAGATTTAGACAACAAAACACTATCTGGTCATCTGACGCTGTCACATGACTTCCATTGACTACTGGCAGCCTGAGGTGGGGGGACCAGGGTTGTGCTCTGGTGGATTCCAGGTGGAGCTTGGTGGGACAGGATTGGACAGAGGAGGGTCAGGTGTAGGGGGGGGTCAGGGGTGGGGGTCTGAGGATTGGCCTGGGAAGGAATATTTAAGGTTCTACAAGTCACAGTGCAAGTCAAGAGACAAATATTATCTGCTGTTTGAAGAAAGGCACTCTAGGTACCTACTGTACAGAGGGACTGGTCCAGGTGGTCTGGAACACATTTGCAGATGGGGGGGCAAGGATGGGGGGGCGGTGCATGACTTGCCCAGACCAGGGCTGTTGCTTTTAGTCTCATAAATCAAACCTCTATTGAAACTCAGATTGTTACAGAGGAAGGCAGAGGGCGCTCAAGGTGCAGCTTTGACCGTATATCCATCTGTGCTCATCAGGAAGGAAGACAGTGATGTCATGTTGTTGACAGATCACCTGTCCTCCTGGTTGGACAGACATCAAAACTAACCAAACAAACAACCACGGCCTTTGAAAATGTTTTACAGAAGTTGATTTTTAGGAGCCAACCAACAGCCCTGGTCCACACAGACAGGAAGTCCACATCCACCCCACATAGACCACAAACACACAACCCACGCCTGTCACAGGCAGCTGAAGACAAATGCAACGACTCGGGCAGATCTTCTGTTCTCCACCAACATCTAACTCTTCTCTGTCCGTGTTCTCCAGGTTCTCTCAAAAGACCAAAACATTAGGAGGCATTTCCGGGCCGGGTTTGTGGGACCGATGGACTGGATGGAGGCAGTTTGTGCAGCTGATGTCAGATATGCTGATCCGTCACTCTGGACCACATGATATGACTACAGGGACCAGGACCTGTGATGATTCTGTGGTGGTCGCCCAAAGACACATGCACCGGAGTCAGTGGAATAAACGGAACAGGAACAGGAACAGGAACACTCCATTGGAGTGACATCTTCTGGTGAAGATGAGAACTCATCGTACTTAAGACTTGTTTTAATAGTTAACAGTTGTTAAGACCACCACCACCAACAGGACTTACCAAACCACAGGTCTCCAACATTAGACCAACTGGAGGTGAATGTGTCTTTGGGCGAGCGAAAAAAGTACAACGAAATCCATCACCACTCGAGGCACGGCGAGTAAAGACAACACAGTTGGCTAACGCTCCGGCCCCAAACTACAGACCCAGGTGACAGCCTCCCAGCCAATCACCAATCAGCATCACATACCAGGCGGGACAACATGTCCGACTGTGAGGGGGCGGAGACTGGGCGAAGACCCGCCCACTCGTCAGAAGACAAACGACAAAAGATCAACTACACACAGCTCTGTGTTTCTCCTACAAAAATATTGGCAATGTGGGGTCAAGTCACATGACCAGAGAGGTCACATGACCAGAGAGGTGCAAACTCCAGGTGAACTCCTCCGCCTCCTCTGTGCTGCAGCCAGCTTGTGCTTTAATCTCAGGACTCCCCGTCACCTGAAGGAGCTGCTCCTTCAACAAGTCAAAACAAGTTCCTTCAACGGTACCGCAGGACATCGTTGACTTGATCGGTCCATACAGTTGGGTGGAAGTGTCCCTGCTGAGGGTGGAGACAACATGGTTTTGGCAGTCGGGGTCTGAAGGGGACCAGGATGTAAAGATCATCAGGAACAAAAAGCACTTATTTCTGAAGACTAGGAAGACCTGAATATCTTTACCTATAAAAACACAAGCAGCCCAGATACCCCTGGGGTGTGTGTGTGTGTGTGTGTGTGTGTGTATGTGTGTATGGGTGTGTAACATTGCAGTATTGCAATTTCACATTGAGTTCTCACAGTTGACACACTTGACTCACAAATGAAAAAGTCCATCACGACACCAGACCAACAGCACTGAGAACATCTGCCCACCTCCTCAACCACCTCCTCCTCCTGAACATCAACACTTCTGTGGGGGTGGGGGTGGGGGCACCTAATGAGGTTAGCCTAAATGCTGACAGTTTGACTGGACCAGTGACGGGACCAGTGACCTTGTGGACATTGTTAGTAAACGTGTAAACGTGGATTCAGGTCTTGGCGTTTATGTGATGATGTCATTCAAGACTACAGAACTTTGGTGTCAAACAGTTCTGGAGACCAGTCCTTGGTGACTGGACTAAAGTCAGGAATAGGTACTGCATGTTGACCTTTGAACTTTTCCTTTATCATTACTCTGACCCTGGTTAGTGCCAGCGGTGGGTACTGGACTCTGTGACCTTGGTTCACGACTGGATTCAATGAAAACCAAATTATTTGTCGCACAGTTTTAGGGGTTTTGGATCAAGTCTTCAGACTGGAACTTTGTGGGACTCACTGGGCCTGGACGTCGGTCAGCTTTGATGTCAGTTTATTGCTCAGGGTGGACGAGGACAGACAGGGAGGGGGCCGGGTGTCAGTGATGATGTTAGCTGCTAAAGGAGGCTGGTCACCGTCACCGGGTTCTGACCTGCTGTAGTACTCTTCAGTGGGTTGGTGGAAGGTGACAGGTTCAACGACTCAAGGTCTGCACATGTCCCCCCCCCCATCACATCATCGCCCTCTCAGACAGATGTTCAGCTTCAGGTTCATCCTGGTACCCAGGTGAACCCATGTCCTGCCCCCGCAGGAGAACCTGGGGTGGGTGGGTGGGGGTACTAGAACAGGCACACACTGGTGTGATGATGAACTGCACTTCTCCCCCAGCGTTCCCTCCACCCCCACCACCACTAGTTGGCATGATGACACTGGTGCGTAGGCCGTCCTGTAGCCCTCAGCTCAGCGGGCCGTGTGGCCTACGCCCACAGCCCAGAGTCATGTGACCTGGGCTGTAAATCTACCATTGACACAGTCTGACAATACAATGCAAACAAACAACATTTATACAGATTGGCAACTTCAGAGCACCAGGCGGTGCAAGCAGACGTCTTTTTTAATATATATGTTTGAATCCCCACAACTCAGGAGACGGAGCGTTACTTTTTATCGTCCAAACTGCTGACCAGAGCTGGCAAAGAATGCTGGGAGGGTTCTGAGGTTTTACTGTTGTTGATGATGCTGCCGCCACTGTCGCTCAACTCCTCCTGCAAATTCTCCAACGCTGCGTCAGGAGCGCTGACGGCGGACGTCTTCTTCTCAGAGTTGGTGGTGAGGTCAGCCGCGGAGTCGTGGTCGGAGCTCGTCGGCTCTGCCGTACCGTTGGTGGTGGCGGCGACCGTCGCGATCACTGCCATGATGGGGATATCCAGCAGAGGAGCCGTGTCGGACTTGGTCACAACATCCGACTGCGGACTCACCGCTGCGCTGTTCCCTCCGACTCCCACAACAAAGCCAGCATTAGCCCCCGGCGCTAGGACGAGGCCACCGTCTGTGGGCGGGACGCCGCCGTCCTTCAGCACGGGCTGGTTGTTCGTGTTCCCTCCTCCCCCGTCCCCCCCCTCTGACTGGGAGCTGTTTGTGACGCCGTGCGGCTGTTGTTGGTCGTTCACATCCGTGCTGTCGGCTGGACAGTCTGCAGACGTCGCCGTGTCCACAGGGGTGGTCTCTGGTGCAGCCGGGGGACAGAGTGACACATGGGGCCGGTCCTGGACTCGGTCACTAGTGCCTTTAGCGTCTGCTTCTGCCAGAGCTTGGTTGAAGTTGAAAGCTTGGATGAGGCGGATGAGATGTTTGACTTTGTCCAAGGAGAGCTGCATCTCCTTCTGACGAGCCAGGATGGTGTTCTTGGTCTCCATGCACTTCTGCAGGAAGAAGAGGAGCAGCAGCTGAGGTGAGTCACGAAGATGTCAGTTAAAAACATGAAGGACCTACAACTGGTGTCTTCTAGAAGACGTGGACTTTTCTGCTACAGACCTTGAACTCTGTCCTCTTTGTCCCACACATTTCATTATTATTTGTTGTTCGTTTGATGTAAAGGACATGTACTTTTACCATATGTTTAGCTTAGCTGGACTATCTTTTCCTAAAGCTGGGTGAGGAGTGAGGAGTGAGGAGTGGGTGAGTGGGGTGAGTGGGGTGAGTGCTCCATCTCTTACTGTGATGGAGTTGCTGAGCTGTTTGACTCTCTGTTCCAGCTGCTCTCGCTCCACTTTCAGTTCTGAACTCCACTTCATCAGCTTCTGCTTCTCCTCCTCTTTAGCTGAAACAGAGAGAGACGACACAGCCGGTCAGGTCACGTTGGCTCCAGGACCGGGTCTGAGAGGGGACAACAAAAACCTCACCTTCTTTGTAGGCGATGTAGGAATGGACTATAGCCAGGGTTCCAGGCCAGGGAATGGCTTCTTCTTTCTTCAGGATCTGGAAAGTCAACAGCTTTTCTTAGAGGCTGAGGTTTGGAAGAAGACACTTAGACAAACTCGTTTGGTGCCCCCTCATGGTGAGGTTGAAAAGGGAGGAGCAGATGGAGTGAATGGATGTGTGATGTCAATCTGTTTCTGACAATGAATGAGACAGAAGTGCCAATCAAACAATACTGCATCATGTTGGTGCTTACAAAGGATTGAACAGTCCAGGGTTCATACCCACTTCAGCTAATGGCCCTGTTTTTCCACCCTGCCCCCTCCCCACCCCCACCCCCGTCAGTCTGGGGCTGCTGCGGTTTACCTGATCTTGGCATTTTGGACAGATCCACATGCCTTTAGGAATGGTTTTCAAGGGTGGGTCCAGGCAGTCCAGGTGATAAACACGAGAACACGTGTCGCACATGAGCAACTGGCCACTGCGTCTGCACACAGTGCAGAAATCCTCATGGATGTCTCCCTGTGAGAAGGA